ATCAATACACTGCCTCCGAGTCTTGGATTGTTTAATGCCATCGCTAATTGGGCTTTCGCGTCAGTAATTGTCACACTGATAGACAGGCAGCATGGAAAGAAGTATGATCAGGGCGACACCTACATTATAGACCCAGCGTATTACGACAGTATCCGAAGTAGCTCCCTGCCCTCTATCCTGTGGTTGTAACACGTGCATGATGACAGATGTAGTTTATTCTAATCTGCCCCATTGTCCATGAGACACTGACACTGACAGTATCCGAAGTAGCTCCCTGCCCTCTATCCTGTGGTTGTAACACATGTATGAAGACAGATATAGTTTATTCTAATCTGCCCCATTGTCCATGAGACACTGACACTGACAGTATCCGAAGTAGCTCCCTGTCCTCTATCCTGTGGTTGTAACACGTGTATGATGACAGATATAGTTTATTCTAATCTGCCCCATTGTCCATGAGACACTCTGACAGTATCCGAAGTAGCTCCCTGTCCTCTATCCTGTGGTTGTAACACGTGCATGATGACAGATATAGTTTATTCTAATCTGCCCCATTGTCCATGAGACACTGACACTGACAGTATCCGAAGTAGCTCCCTGTCCTCTATCCTGTAGTTGTAACACGTGCATGATGACAGATATAGTTTATTCTAATGTGCCCCATTGTCCATGAGACAACTTTCTCCTTGCTGACACTGACAGTACCAATTGAGATGTAGATGTATAACTCTTAGTTGTTCCACAAGTGATCTTAGTGCTAAGCTAGTTGTATGTCTCCTACTATAACATATGTAGATCATAACCACTGACATCACTTTGTGGAACAGGTCCGATGGGAACAATGGCTGTCTATGTGATGACATAAATATTAAAGGCACAGAGTAAAGAAAAATGGTAACGATGTGTGCTGTTTCCCCGGCAAAGGACATTGTTCAGAATATGCCTCTGTTCACACAGCAGGGAATGGATACCCTGTGGGGTAATGGCAATATGGCCGTTAACCTTCCAGCTCCTTACAGGCAGTCTGAGTTGTATTCTCCCAAGGGAGCCTTAGACTGAAATATCAGGGTTGAACAGAACAGAACATGATTTCATTGTCATGAATCATACAAACTGGTATAGAGAAAGTACAGTTATTTTCATACAGTGTGCAAAGTGGTTGATCCATTATGGTATACTGATCCTTTGAATGGGGTAATAATACGGTTTGAGCATGATACTCAACATGGAAGAAACACTGTAGAAATAAACAATTATTATAAGACATGGTAGTTATGTGAGTCAACAGCTTGTCTAGGAAATGATTTCAGACACTGATTAAGACCTTGTAATGACAGACTTGAGTATAGCCTGTTTTCAGATCTGGGAGGACGGTTCTAAATGTCTCCACATATGTAACAGACTGTTGTCTACAGTATGTCATTGTCTCCCACCACAGATATTCCCCACATGGGTACGATGTGTGAAGCCCATTTCTGGTGTCCACTGCCATGATAATGCAGGTATATTGTACCAGACAATTGTGTGATAGATATTATGAGCTAGTTTTCCATGTGCAGTTATTTATGTCAATTCAGAGCTTAAGATAACTTTTTGGGTCATTGAGTTATGTACTCCGTTGTGTTCATCTCAATTGGGTATCCTAAGTTTCCTTTGAGTAAAGAAATAAATTGTACTCACCTCAATCAAACCCAGTTGGGTATTTTGCCATTTTCCATTAATTTTAGAAATATGATATAGTTTAAATGTTAGTGTTTGTGATTTACCTTTGATCTCTAATATGAGAACCGATGAGAAAGACTGCAAGATGTCAAGTTCATGTCCTAAAATAGAGCCTCTCAGTATACGTCAGCTATTTTATCTATCCACCGGTACGCAAGCTACGACTTGACATTTTTGTGTGTACGCATGTAAGATCACATTTATTGAGTATTTACAAAACTTCAGGCGTACTTGTACGCAATAGACTTAATAGGAATTGGGTTTTCACATAAATGTTTGCGTAATTTACGCAGATACACAGCTTATCTGTACCTCTGCCATTTTAACAATATTCCTGCAATATGGCATGAGGTGGCAAAAGTGGGCATTACACACTTTGTGCCCTCAAAGGGGTGGGTATTGCAGAGAATTTTCAGATTGCGATATATTGTGATGCAAAAGCATATATTGCAATATGGATCGCAATATATTGCAAGAAGTTGTTTTTTTAACCAAAAATATACTTATAATGGAGTTAATGCTTCATGTATAAAGCAAAAACACAATAAAATCACTATTCTTGATTAAGCTTTAATAAAAAGTTTTAATCAAGACAAAATAAAAGTGTAAACAAAATTTTATAATATAAGAGTCTTGGGGGATCGCCATTTTACAAAGGCATGACTTCGGTGTGAAAAACGAAAATATCCGAAGATTTCCGAGTGTTACAAAGTTTTCGGAATGAATGTCAAACTACCATTTTTCGATCAGTGTATGCGCAATACGTAATGTTTTCATGTCCGAACCTGTAAATATCGGTAAACCGGTTATATTGCACAGCCCTACCTTTTGGGATGAACAAGGCGTCTTCCTTAAGATAAACCAATGTTTTTTCAACAGTCAGGGGTTGTACATCTTACATATTGTGTTTTGGTGCTTTGTCCTTCAAAGCCATTGTAGAACTACTATAGTTTTGTTTGTTGTTGCTTAACACTACCCTCAGCAGTATTCCAGCTGTACTACCCATCAAAAGTTTAGCTTAACACTACCCTCAGCAGTATTCCAGCTGTACTACCCATCAAAAGTTTAGCTTAACACTACCCTCAGCAGTATTCCAGCTGTACTACCCATCAAAAGTTTAGCTTAACACTACCCTCAGCAGTATTCCAGCTATACTACCAAGTTTAGACTCACTTAAAGGATTCACTATGTGTAATGTATGGTTACATCGAAGATTAATTTCTCCACTAACTTGGGGGAACCAACTGCAGACCTTATGCAGATGAATTACTTGAGGATCATGCATCAGATTACTGAAAAGCATGTGCAAATATCGTGCATGTGAACAGCTGCATTTTGGTGTAAAGCTTTGTTAAGAATTCGCCAATTTTCACTGAGTTTCATCATTCATTGAACCCATGAGAATAATTTTTTCATCGTTACGAATTTGTTTGCAAAATCTAGTATAGAACAGTTGATTGAATTAAGGGGCAACATTTACACTAGCGAGTCTAAACTTTTGATGGGTAGTATATATTGCGGCAGTCTGTAAATAATTGAATCCAGATATGCAGTGATCAACAAAATAAGCATTGATCTACGCAATTGGGATACGATTACATACGTCTGTCAACTAAGTCCGTGAGGCTGACCACCCTATCCTGTTTGTTGTCTCCTACGACAATCATGGGTTACTGACAACCAATTCTAACCTGGATCTGCTGGGTTAGCTAATATAGTCGTAAGTCAATGTCAAAGTATTAAAGTTATGATCACCTTTGCTCAACAACCCCTCATGGAACTAAGGCTTGCCTATTTATAGATCCTACTGAAAAGCGTATTTAATGTTGAGTGTTTGTGAAAGATTTGAGGGTTGTCCTTTCAAGTTTTCTTTGTGAAGGTATTGATATCGTGAATATTGGTATCTAATGAAGTCCTATAAGCTGAAGAGGATTGTTTGCGTGTTGAGTTTAATCACACATCCATTATAGTGATAGAGCACTTTGTCACCAAACAGCACTGCGGACATCAATTTAATGGATTTGTTGTTGTTTGATGCATCATTTCCATGGCAACAGGAAATAATCTGCATGAGTTATTGCCAGGCTTCCCTGAAGGAGTGTCATATACCACTTGACTTCCTGGTCAGGAGGAACCAGGGAGTAATTGATATTCTAGCTTGGTGTTTTGGCATTCGGTATGCTGCTGCAGCAGTACATCACAAATATCAGTTAGGGAGCGGTACTCTGTACACAATTTATCACTTAGTGGCCTGACAACAACCATATATCATAGGCTATCATCAGCACTCTGGAGAGCTGTAATTGGTTTTATTGTTACCATATTCATAGAAATTTTAGATTTACTGAGACCATTTCTACTGGTATCAGGAACGGTGGGGTAGCTTATGGTTAAAGCATCTGCTTGTCATGCTGAAGACCTGGGTTCGATTCCCCTCATGGGTACAATGTGTTAAGCCCATTCTTGTGTCCCCTGCAGTGATATTGCTGGAATATTACTAAAACCGCACACTTTCATTCACTCTGCAGCTGTCAATTTGTTTTACATTGTGTGGCAATAATGAGAATAATGACAACAAATAGAGAATGAAGTTCTTATAATTACAGTGTAAAGTCTTTTAGCTGTTAACTGTGTTATACATCAGGAAACCATATTGCATATATAATACATGTATAATATGTAAGATGCCAGATTCACCTTCTTGACTGGTTTGTGAAAGTCTGGGTTAGAATGAACCTTCAGTAACCCGTGCTTGTCGTAAGAGGCAACTAACGGGATCGGGTGGTCAGGCTCACTGACTTGGTTGACGCATGTCATTGGTTCCCAATTGCACAGATCGATGATCATGCTGTTGATCACTGGATTGTCTGGTCCAGACTCAATTATTTACAGACTGATGCCATATAGCTGGAATATTGCTGAGTGCGGGGTTAAACTATACTCACTCACACTCACTTGCCTAAATAGCTATAGTCCTAAAATAGTCAAGTCGTCTACTAGTACTAGCTTTAGGATACCTTTAACATCAGGCTCATTGATTTGTTATTGAGTCAAAGAGTGGTGGAAACCACCAGTACACCTGCTCTGTCTGTTGACAGACTGTAAATATGAAATTACACAAAATTATGTATAGTTTGTGCAAACTAACAATTTCAGAAAAAGCTGAAAATTCGAACTAAAATTCCAGTCTGTGTGATAGTTGTGATAATGGAACTTCTGCTCGTGTTTTGTTTATCAAAAGAGTTGTACCAAACTTAATGTGGCATGTTATGTTTCAGAGTACCTGTGCCCACCTGAGGCCAATGTTTATGGAATCGACTTTACCCGCTTCAAGCTGCGAGATATGGAGTCTGGCACAGTCCTGTTTGAAGTAGCTAAACCTCCCCCGCCTGGTAAGGTTCCAGACCTTTTGCCATCACCATTCTGCATCTTATGTCTGTTCATCATAGATTTCAATGCACTTTATCACGCTGGAGGGTTTATTTCCTTAATATGTGGGAGGGATCTTTTCAGATGACTTTTATTGGTTTGACCGGTCGCCTTTCAAAGAAATTCGACTTTTTTGGTGTGAACTACAGCTGCATACAATTTACTCGCATATTTGGTAAATCTAACCGTATCCCGTCATGAATTCAATTTGTTATTCATGGTCATTTTGAATCAAATATTCATGTTTTTACATTTATATGTATTAATATTCAGTATATTTTACATATACTGATAATAAATGCCTGCTGACTTGTTCCTGGATTTGTTACCCAATATTCGTATTCTTTTCCAGTATTTCTTTTCCATATCTGTCTCAATGTGGATCAGACCCGTGAAGATCTGGGTTAGAATTGGTCTTCAGTAACCCATACTTGTCGACTAACGAGATTGGGTGGTCAGGCTCGCTGACACAAGTCATTGATGTTGATGACTGGATTGTCTGGTCCAGACTAGATTATTTTCAGACTGTTGCCATATAGCTGGAATATTGCAGAGTGCGGCGTTAAACAACAATCCAACCAAATCATAGTGGGTCTGTTGTAGCCCTAGTGTGTGTTGGATGACATGGCTATTGTGAAACACATTTTTGTGCCTTTTCAAAGAAGGAATTTGGGGTCTTGGAACTGTAGCAGAAAAACTATTCCCAAACTTGTTGAATATGAAATGGTTATCCCTTGAATTCTACAGATTTGGCTTGAGTTAAGAAGATTCTGTCTGTCCGTTACATGTGGTTTAAAGCTTACTGTCTAAGACTCCTAGGTAAAGAATTGCTCTTCCACAAACCATTGTCGTCTAATGCGACTAACAGGATTGGTTGTGAGGCTTCCTGACTTGATAGACACGTCATCAGTATTGCATAAACTGGTGCTTACATCAGTCTCTGGATTGTCCAGAACATGTTACTCACAGAACATATTACTCAAAGACAATATTACTCACAGTGCTTATGTCAGTGTCAAGGTACAAAACCTATCTATGGTCAAAAGTGTTGTGATCGATACTTTGATTAATTATTATCTGGACCTGACTATTCTTGGTAAGACCCGTGAAAATCCGGGGTAGAATAGGTCTTCAGCAACCCATGTGCTTGCCATAAAAAAGGCGACAATCTTGTCGTAAGAGGCGACTAACGGGATCGGGTGGTCAGTTTCGCTGACTTGGTTGACACATGTCTTCGGTTCCCAATTGCGCAGATCAATGCTCATGCTGTTGATCACTGGATTGTCTGGTCCAGACTCGATTATTTACAGAACGCCGCCATATAGCTGGAATATTGCTGAGTGCGGCGTAAACCTAAACTCACTCACTCACTATTCTTGGTGATGGTGTCCTGCTGTTATTGCTGTTAGAACCAGTCTGCTTAGGCTGTTAGAGTTCTGTTCTGACAACTGCATGTTGTTCTGTAGAACTAACCCTTTTCACTTCATGTTCTCTTTGTTGGATCGATGCTCATGCTGTTGATCACTGGATTGTCCCCCAACATAGAGCTGGAATATTGCAAAGTGCGGCGTAAAACTAAACTTGCTCGCCCTCTTTGTTGAAATTGTGCCAATCCTATTGATCATTAGCCATATTAACCATTATGATCTTTGGTATGGAATGCAAGCAGTTTCCATCACTGTAGCTCTTTAATGGGGAGGTAGCCTAGTGGTTAAAGCGTCTACTAGTCACGCCTAAGTCATGGGTTCAATTCCCCACATGGGTACAATGTCTGAAGCAAATTTTTGGTGTCCCCCGCCATGATATTGCTGGAATATTGCTAAAAACCGTGGTTGATTGAGAGTTTCGTTTAAGCAGAACTGTACCCTCAGCGGCATTGAAAATGTCCTGAGATTCCTGAACTCTACCGCCCTAGGTCTCGTTACAAAATCGGTGATATAGAGTGGACGCTCACCTTGTAAGGCCTTCCGTGCAACGTGGTCCGCATGTTCCGTATTTAGAACGTCTTGGAGTGTAGAGGAGCCCAGGGATTCCAGCAACTGGTTCAGTTCACTATCTTTTGCAAGGTCTCCAGTTGTAACCGGAGCGGAGGGGGTGTTATGAGGTTCCGAGGGTTGAGGCGCTTTTTGGAGTGATTTAATAACTTTTTCTAGCAGTTTTCGTTGTGCTAATTTTAAATTCAGGCTTTCAATGTCCGACTTATCCAACTCCAGGAGTTCGCTTTGAGTTAGTGAATTCTTCTTTAGTCAATTTATTTATTGAACTGTCTGTGAAACCTTGCTTTGTAAGCCAAGACTCGAGCGTTTCTTTCTCCGCCATACTCAAACTGTCTTTACACGCCGACTGCAGCCGCGAGACTGACTCTTAGATCCCGTATGACGACGAAGTCGCGATGCCCATGCCGACGCCCACCGCGCGTGCAAGCTTGCGTGGCGGGGTGCCGTTTTCCCGATACTGGCGGTGAGGCACCCGTCTGTCCATGACCTGGAGTTAAACTTTAATAATATAAATTATTACCCCAAAAACCTCTTAAAATCATTTTCACTCACTCTTGAATGGTATTCTTTTAGCTATCAGGCACTTTAACTCACCTAATGGACCTTCAGTAGTTAACCAACGTTTGAGGATTAGGTGGCTACAATGCATGCCCTGGATGCTGCTGTGAGACACTGTGCATTCTGTCAACCACTTGTTTGTCTTACTATTTACTGGCTGAAGAATGATGTAGAGTGTGATTTTAATTACTTATTCACAAAAAGAGTCTAGTCTATTGTGAAAGATGTCAAAGATGAAAACTGTTGATCATGATGCTGTTTGCTTCAGAAGATGGGGAAGATGCTGACCTTGACCTTGAAGATAGCGATCCTAATGCTGGGCGCTTTGTCAGATACCAGTTTACACCACAGTTTCTCAAACTGAGGACAGTCGGAGCCACGTACGTTCACAGTTTACCATCTTTCAACTTACTTCAGTGCTAATTGTCGAATATATGTGTGGGAGTTGCTTCTATCCTTGTATATAGATCCCACGTTCCCGTGCACTGAGAATTATTTGAAGTTTCCACCGTTCTTGTATCATGTGTGATATGTTTCTTGTATGTCACTCTATTTTGTAAAAAGATTGAAATGATGAAATTAGTTCCTCACTTACTCACATCCTGTTTTCTTCACTTACATAGTTAGATGAAGGGAAAATATCAGTGTGCATCAAAACCATGTCAAGTCCCAATTCAAATTATGAACTTACCGGTACATTAAGGACATGGGGTAAGGGCGGTGGGGTAGCTGAGTGGTTAAAGCGCTCGCTCTTCACACTGAAGACTCGGGTTTGATTCCCCACATGGGTACAATGTGTGAAGCCTATTTCTGGTGTTTCCCGCCGTGATATTGCTGGAATATTGCTGAAACCCATACTCCCTAACTCACTCATTTAGGACTGCCACTGATTCTGTGGATAGTGTCTGCCAAGAGAGCTGAAGTTTGGTGGTTCTATTCCGAATTGTGTCATAGCAGTAGACATCAAATGATGATACTCGTTCCTATCCTGCCTGCTCTGTGGGGTAGCCTAGTGGTTAAAGTGTTGGCTCATCACGCCAAAGGCTTGGGTTCGATTTCCCATATGGGTACGATATGTGAAGCCCATTTCTAGTGTTTCCTGCCGTGATATTGCTGGAATATTGTTAAAAGCGGCGCAAAACCATACTCATTCCCTCACTCCATTCATATCAGCATCATATCAGCAGCATCACAATTGGTGTACAAGACCGCTTTCATTATTTCCCTGTGTTACAGTGTGGAGTTTGTAGTTGGAGACAAACCAGTCAACAAGTTCCGCATGATTGAAAAGCACTACTTCAGAGAGAAGATGCTCAAATGTTTTGACTTTGAGTTTGGATTCTGCATCCCCCACAGCCGGAACACAGTGGAGCATATATATGAATTCCCACTTCTCAACCAAGAAGAAAGTAAGTTTACCCTTATCAGAACAGATGAACTAATTGCTGTTTGTAAATTAAGGTTGGAATTTCTTTTCTGTGGGTGCAGTTGGGTAGTCAAGTGGTTAAAACATTGGCTCGTCTTGACGAAGACCTGGGTTTGATTCCCCAAATGGGTACAATGTGTTAAGTGCATTTCTGGTGTCACCCGCCGTGATATTGCTGGAATATTGTTTTAAGCGGCGTAAAACTATACTCACTCACCTGGTATTAAGGTATAATGATGATGTCATACTATCTTGTTGCAGTTCATACTGAGCCATGAATCTATTGTGCATTTTGATTGTACCAATAATTTATTAAGTATGACTTGTGAGGCAATAGGTCATGTTGCAAACTATGGAGTAAGTGAGTGAGTTTAGTTCACTGTTAGTAATATTCCATAGTACTGTCGGAAATAGAAAAAAACTGTGAAAGTGTGAAATATCTGTTAAACTTAGTTTGGCCTAGTTAAACTACAGTCTCAGTGGTAGAGAGATAGGAAACAGAGAAAAAGGACTTTACATAGGGTAAATTAGTGCAGAACAGATCATGGCTTTATGCAAATTAGTGTGCGACGATATTGTATTACAAAGGACACTTTTTAAATGCCCAATTTGAAATTAGACGTATATTCATTATAAATGATAGCTGACGTAAAAAATAATAACTTTTATGCCGAAACTATTAAGGATCTAGCTACCATGCTGTCTCACTGTCACTATAAAAAGAAACAGATAGGAGGGGCCATCTCAAAAGCAAAACCTGGGATTGGGCTTGGGGATAGAGATATCAGCTAAGATAAGATAATCCTTTAGGGCAATTATACTGGGGAGGTACACGGCACGTCATAACAATTTACAAATAATATCCAGTCCTGTCGATCTTCGGGTGGTCATGCCACCTATATACTACGATGCATTTCTATGGTTTTCGGGTATCATACTCTTTTACATATCTCAACATAAACTATATGAAACTATATGAAAGAAAGACACGTAAGATGTTAATCAATAGATGAGACATAGTCAACACACATGAAAAAGCACACAATATCTTTGAGATGACCCCTTGTGACTGTAGGCAGCATGTGCATTTCATGCCAGGTGAGTCGACGGTCCGTCGTCATACCTGGCTGAGCGACCTAATTGCCATCTATAGTCTGATCTATTGTTTTCAGCAGCTATTCTAAGTTTTTTCCGATTTCACGAGTAAATATGCTTTTCTGGATATCGTATTACGCATCCCAATGAACGCCTAGTTAGGCCAAAGTGGGTTATTTCGACATATGCTATTTGCAATTGTGTAAATTTTAGGGATACAGAGTAACAGCCTAAAAACAGTTTTTTTCAATTTCCGACAGTACTTTAGTAATATTCTAGCCATATCACGGCAGGAGACACCAGAAATGGATCTCACAGCCTGTACCCATGTCTGGAATCGAAACCCAAGTCTTTGGCATGACAAGCAAATGCTTTAACCACTAGGCTACCCCACAGCCTCCCTATATTTTTGAAAGATTGTCAGATTACTCTGCTGAGTTTAGTTCAGCCCCTGCAAACTGTTGAGATACCATAACATGGTGCAAGGCAGATAAATCACCAGGAACGGTTCATTCTGGAAGAACCGCCTCCGTAATGTAGTGGTTAGAGCGTCCGCCGGGAGGCTGAAAGTCGCGGGTTCAATCCCCGGCCGCGTCATACCAAAAGACGTTAAAATATGGTACTTGTTGGTCCCTGCTGGCGCTCGGCATTAATGGGTACAACAAGGACTGGTTGGCTCGGAGTCAGTATAATGTGTCTGAGTGGGGTATTCATGCTTCACTGCGGCATGGTATCTCAGTGGGCTAGCACTATAAAACCAGCTTAAGTCTGTCCTAGTACAAGCAGCCGCACATACACATACACACGCATGCCCGTCGTCATATGAGCGAAATATTCTCAAACACGACGTTAAACCCAATTTCACCTCACCTCACCTCATTCTGGAAGATTTAACTTATTCTCCATTACATATTTTTCTAGTGATTTCTCTGAATAAAATTGTTTCATGAAATTTTCATTAAGTTTTTGTCTCATGCGAAAAGATTCAGGATATTCTTAGACCTCATAGCCTAAGCCCTAGTTGTTAGAACCCCAAAGTACCAGTTCTTTTGTAATAATCACTTTTCTCCCTTTCAGTCCAAGACATGATCGACCACCCTTATGAGACCCGCTCTGACAGTTTCTACTTCGTGGAAGAGAAGCTGATCATGCACAATAAAGCGGACTACGCCTACAATGGTGGTGCCTAGTGGGGCACATCTCATCACATCTCTATTAACTGACAGTCTGGACTAGTTCTTTTGATGGGACAGACTCAACCCTTCCTTATTCTACAGGGAAAGTCTGCAGGAGCTGTAACCTATCTGACAACTAAGGATACATGTATAAACCTGTATATTGGTCACAATAATGTCTTGTTAAAAGGAACTGAAATATTTTAAGCCTGATTTGTTCTTTAATTAAAAGTTCTAACTTTCGCTTTGATTGAAATTCAAACATGACCTATCTCGGTTGTAGTTGTGTTGTTATCGTGACACAGATTGGTTTTTATGTTACTTTGGCATGTCAAACAGGATTCAGTTTAGTAATGTTTTTATACACATTATAAACTATGACAAAAATAGTTTAAGCTGTTGTAGTTCAGGGGTGGATATAACTTTAAAATTGCTAGTGTACTCCGGTACAGTGGCACATGTAAAATCACTTGCCCTGATAATTTTTCCACTATAAAATAAACAACATAATTAACGTTGGAAAGCCAACTTGACACAGGTACAGCGTGATATACAAATTTGCTTGCCCGGCAGGCAAAAACACTGGACTGGGACGTCGGGCAATGGGTTATTTCCACCCCTGTAGTTTGTGATCACAGCATACTATTACAGAAATCCTACCTCGTGCTTAACATGGAGTAAAGTTTTTCATGCAGAAACAAATAGCAATATTCATACCAAAGTTTGAGTGAACATCTTTTGTCTTTACTTGTTGGTGTTAAGCTAGATGTATATTCTACTCTACACAGAGAATGAATATGATCATGATGATCTTTACGATGATGAATATTGTAAAAATCACATGTACACATAAAGGGATAACATTTTATGAATGGAATCACCTGCTCAAATTATCATTTACATGGAAAAATGTACTGAAAATAATCTCAGCCTTGGCTCTTAATTCTTGCTATCAAAGAGTAATTTTATTTCATGCATTAATCTTAGTCCAGACTTTTAGTTTTGTTTGGTTTACAGATTTTCACCCCCAAATTCAGGTTGACAGCATACTGCGGGTCAGAAAATCGATAAACTAGGCCCTGGTTTAGTATCCACATGCCTTACTATATAATATGTAAAGGTTCATCACAGAAATACGGTGACATGATCGAAAACCGGACAATTATGAACACGTCAATGAATATATCGTATTTTAAAGGTCTCACAAGTTTCAAAAGCTTTTGTCCATATCTCTGATGTGTGTAGGGGGCATTTAAATGCGCTTTCCGTGGGGATGCATTTGATGGTTTTTATCAAATCGCCAAAGACCGAGTAAGGGGTGTGGATACTAAACCGGGGCCTAGTTTATCTATGGTTGACAGGTAGAAAAATATATACAAATGGTGTATTTTTCTTTTTTGGCAATTTGTCATTATTACTTTTGTTTGGAAGTTTTTATGATAAATTGTCAACAGGTTCTAATTAAAGTATTTTAAATCATTTATTTTTTATTGATAGGGACAGTGAGATTTTTGAGATTGTATTCATTTCTTGTTGATGGAATAATAAGCCCATTGCTCTTCTTTTCTTTTAACACTTCTGTGATTTCTAATTCAGGTTTTACAAAAAAAGGTTTGGCCGTGTATGTCTCACAATCCTTGTGACAGCTGTTCTCTGATCTCATCTAAAACCATCCCTGTACACATTTATAGATTCCAGTTGTTTTACATGTATTCTAGCAACGGACATCCGTTATTTAATTCCGTTGATCTGAACAAATGTGAAATGTTCGCTGGATAATTTAATTCCTTGTTTAATGTGGATATTTTCACCAGTGGTTGGGGATATAATAGAATTTATTTTGTGACGGTATTTTCGAGTGACAGTAGTCTCAGAATGTGAGTATTTATTGGCACATTGTTGTATATTTCTGATTGCATGCATTATATTTATGTTTGCTGTCCTTTGTCTCAGTATTACTGTCTCCACACACGGCCTTGTCACAGATCTCTCCTTGCTTGCAAACCATAAGTTGCTGACAGGTCTCGAGGTTACGAAAACCCATGTTCTCTGAGGGGCTTGGGGACAACTAATGTATCTTACCACACACTGAATGGATGTAGGTCTCGCATTCATACTGTGGTCGGAATCTGTAAGAATACCACAGACTTTTAATCTGTTCATTAGCAGATGGCAGAAAACTAACTTATACCCACTAGATCTATTTCATTTTGAAAATTTTGCAAATGTCCTGAGAATGACGTCTTTGACCATTAAATGGAGATGTAAAACTGGTTGCATGTAGGTATTGTAATGCATTAGCTATTACATTTTGGTCATTTGATTGAGAAACATAAAAATGAACCTTACCGGTTAATGATAGGGAAAATAACAAAATAGTTTGAAAGCCCTTGAATTTGGAGAAAACTTTCATGTTCTTGTTGATAAAAGTATTAAAATTCATGACAGATTTAGTTTGCCTTATTTGATAGTTTTTAAAATAACTTGTCAGAAAACTTGTGATGTCCATACAATTTCCAAGGATTTCAGACAAATATTATAGTAAACAGGATTTTAAACAAGATGGACAGACTAAGGCTAATAACCCAAGGAAAAAAGCCTTGATACGACAGTGATGAAAAGGCCTTGAATTTTAGTATTCCCTGTCATCTGACTCTTTTACTTACATCACTGTGTGGGTCATGGTTTCTGACCTTGGAAAACACTTACATCTGTGTCGTGACTGGTTTCAAGGCCAGAGGTGAGGTTTGCGACATGCCTCCAATGCGTTCACATTCCATTCCTGTCAGGGTTTGTTTTGTGTGTCCTAGTTTATTCTTCTCACTCATTGCTAGTCCGAAACGATTCACAATACGATACATATCACAATGATATATTCAAAATACTATCCATATCATGATCAGGGGTCTGTATTCCCATTTGCTTAAGTGCAGGTAAACAAAAAGTACTTCTCCTGGGTTACATTTGTGTTGTTTTGTGATGTAATGACACCGTAGTGATCTGCGCTATGACTATCACAAGTCTAAGTATTCGATTTCCGATCTTCTCACCGCTACAAACAGTTTGTGAAACGGGAACCAGAATATAGTGTATAGACCAGTAAATGCATAGGTTGAACTATTGTGAAATCATAATGCATATGTGAATAGACCAGTAAATGCATAGGTTGAACTATTGTGAAATCATCATGCATATGTGAATCGTTTCCACATAATTACGTTGTCACTTGTATTCCCTTAGAAGATGCAAATCTGAAATCCTCAATTTCTTTTCCATTTATCTGATGTGTTTATTTTTTATTGTATTGTATTGAAATGATTCCAGGAATTAGAAATAATCAGTTCAGAATTCGGTTTCATTGTTCTGTGCTGGTGAATGTATTCAGCTGTGCCTGTACTAAATACAACTGTCATGAAATACACACTCCGACGTGGGAGAATCCGGATAAAATATATGTTTAAACTGTCATCTTGTAAGTAGTGGTCAAATGAAATCATTGAATGATTTGTCATTCAGTTGATATGTTGTTATTTGGATATTCACTATATGTACTTGCGTGCAGTAGTTGTCTCCCCTTGATTTCTGTCCAGTTTGATGAAAGAGTAAGCGACAGTGCATGCCACCATCTTGTTACAAGGATCCCAGGCTGTGAGACAATCGTCAACCATTTCCAACATCTTTCTCAGGAGTGTACAAAGACATAGGACGCCACGATGATACATGCGTTCTTAATTTCTTACATAACACGATATGGCTGAAATATGCCGATTTGACTTAAGTCTTAACTCACTCTATTGGCATAACAATTTTGAATAGAGAGAACAATATCCATTCTTTTGATCTCTTGTAGGAATGTCTTTTAAGTTTGAGTTATTGAACATTAAAAATCCTATCTACGTATCAGCACTGGTTATTTCTGTGTGGACACATGGATTTTCTCACCAAGGTTCAAGTTTCTGGCGTGTCTGATATTACTTCTAGGATAACACGAGGTTCTGAACTTACTCAAGTAATGATTATCATCCTTACGGTTATTAATGTTAAATGCCACATCAGCGAAAAAGTGCATAATACTGCAACTGAAAGTTCACAGTGCTTGGTTAGAATCGTCTCGCACAGTTCATAGGTGCTTTTAAGTTTGCTCAAATACAAGGTGCAATGAGTGTTTTAAAATCAAAACTGGACGTCGATTGGAAAGATTTCAAATTCAGTATATAATAGTGTCACAGGAACAGTGCCAAGATTTGATGAAGTCAACTGTTTTTCATCTGATTATTGAGAAATATTAAGTTTGAATCTACTAAATATTTTTATCAAGTTGAGGTCATACAAAGTACGACTATAGACTGAGATACTTGCTTTTGTTGATGAGTTTGTTGTAGTAGGTTTATGTTGTGGAAAATGCTGTTCAGTTATCCTTTCTTACCTAGAGATGTTGCTGTGCCATGCTTGTTAGACTGAAGTTGTTTCACACTGTTCAGGGACTTGCCATCTATTACAGGGGAGGTGGTGAGCTAGCCTAGTGGTTAAAGCATTTGCTTGTCATGCCAAAGACCCGGGTTTGATTCCCGACATGGGTACAGTGTGTAAAGTCCATTTCTGATATTGCTTGAATATTGCTAAAACTGGGGTAAAATGAATACACTCACTCACTTGTCTATTACAGGGTTGATGGGTTAAGGTTTTTATGCACTAATGTATTGAAAATAATGACTGACCCCCCTCAAATATGTGTCAAATTTTTGGATGACTCTCCACATGTCGATGTATATTTCTTCATCACCCTGCCTGAGAAGATAATGCAAAAGCATTTTATTTTATTCATAACCCTTCCAAAATATGTGTATATTTGTTCATGACCCTGAGAAAGAATCATGTATTTGGCGATTTCCTCTGAACCATCCTCTATAATACATGACAAGTCCCTGAACCAGAAATAAAAGTTCTAGTACTTGATCATTGTAACTTTAGTTTCAGAATTATTGTACAGCTTGATTTTAGTTTCACTCAAGATGTGAATGACAAATTGTGCCTTTATCCTACACACAAAGCAATGGTTGCTCTAGTGGGGAATTGTTTAATAGGAATACACGTTTCGTGCATATATGAGAAGCCTGTTGAAATGGAGAACTGCATGATAGTGGACATGTTGTGCACAACACGAAACATTTGTTCTGGAAATCAATGTGTTAATCCTAAGTTATTAAATCTCCTGTTCAGGCATGTAAGGGTTTAATATTGCTGATGATTAGAAATGACAGAAAATGTTTCAGATAGGTTTCAGAGCTATAGACCAATGGATAATTTTGTGTCCAGAAAGGCAATCAAATCAAACTGAACTTGTTGACAACAGTTGGTATTTCAAACATGAGTATGTTTCAGACCTGCTGTTATTGAAGTGAATTACCTAGACCTGTTATTGCTGAGCATTGTGTTGTCGTGTTTGTTGCCATGTGGCAGACAAGACAATTCCTCCTCATGTTTGAAGATGCTGAGTCAAATATATTCCTTTATGTTTCTAGGAATTTATGAATTGCCACTGGACCACGGTTATCAAATACTAAGCCCATGTTTCCTGACAATGACAGTACAGTATGAGTTACTTAATTCAATAACCATTTTGTGAGTGGAGTGCAGGTGCTTTTCTTTCATTTTGTCTGAAAGTGGTAATTTTGACAACATCCAGGAAGCGTAAAACTTAGCACCAAAGACGTAGTACACATTGCAGTACAGTGTGGACAAGCAGGTTCTGTCAGGACAGATTCACTGGATTCTTGCTCAGCAGCTGTTCCAGTACTTCATCCCCTTACAATTGGGGTCAGGTGGACACAATGTGGCACATATGGACAGTATGGGTACCTGACTGGGAAAACCTGTATTCAGTGGAGATGCTGACTTCACGGCCCATCCATCATCTTGAGATGCTGCAGCTCCAGGATCAGTGTGAAACTAAAACGTTGGCTGTCATGGGTAACCAGTTAATGATGGATAGCAGCTCACTCAAATACAGATATCATTTTGTCCTAGACATTCATCACAAGGACTTTGATCACCTGGTGGTCAAAAGGGCAGGATAACTTCACAAGGTCAATGTTAGGTTTGCCCAGATCAGTTTTGTCATCAAACCCATGGGTTTGCCCAAGTGTTGAATTTAAATGGCCAGCATCACTTTGGGATTAGGACCCACATTGATCTAGTATGCCATGAATGGGCACAATTGCTACTCAGACCTGACCTGGTTGTCTCTCATCATCATTAGAACCATGAAGCCCATTTCTGGTGTCCCCCACCGTGATATTGCTGGAATATTGCTAAAAGCTAAAAATAAACTCACTTACTCATGTGAACCAAACATGTTTCAGTTACTTCATTCCTTGACCAGGTTTGTTGGGTAGAGTATTGATTAGGGTGTTTGCCTTGCACACAGATGATCCATCCCTGGATGTGTTCCACCTTTGTAAAACCGCCATGTTGCTGAAAGCGGCTTGCAACTTGCACAAAGCACTGTCCTTGTCCTCAGTGTCCTAGACTATCTGACCGGTCGTTGATCAGTTCACCTCGTTCCAAAATACTGAAGCTATGACTATCAATTTCTATTCGATTCTTCATGAGTGTTCATGCTTCTAAAGCTTATATGATGTTTTGGAACATGGCCTGGATCATACCAATCTCACCAAATTCAGACTGTTTGCATCGAAATGAAACCTGGGTCCAGATCAAAGAACACCTGTAATAAATTGCCGCAGATTGACCCTGAGGAACTTGGAATACCCAATCAAAATACAGGATGTATAGATGCCACTGTGCTTGCTCATGGATAAAATATCTCTACAATATGGGATTATTTTATTAACATTCTTATTTTCTCGATTCTGTGGAGACTTATGGGTCTGTCCTCAGATCTTTACAGATGTGGGGCGTGAGGTAGCCTAGTGCTTAAAGCATTTGCTAATCACGCCGAAGACCCAGGTTTGATAACCAACATGTGGAGAATGTGTGAAGCCCATTTCTGGAGTCCCCTGCCATAATATTGGTGGAATTTTGCTAAAAGCGGCATAAAACTAAAATCACTCTCACTCACACAGCTGTATCATGTTGAAAACTGACAATTATAACTCAATACTGAAGTGTCTTTCTAGGCTAAGACTGCTTTAGGTAACATGGCCCTGACTTGGAGGTTTGGATAATTCAGGATATATTTACAAAGGGTATTTAGTTTTAAGCCTCAATGAAAAAGCTTTACACATGAATTGGTACACACTTTTAACTTGGATATGAAGTAACCAGGCTCAAGCCATTTGTATGCACCATCGTATTACAGTCGTCCGTCCATCGCACACCTGCACTGGCCACTGACCCACTGCACAAGGAAGGATAGCCATCTGAAGTTTCATCCCCTCTCGTCTTGCTCTACTGGTCAGCAAGATGACCTTTCTACCAGTGACTATGTTATATATCTCCAGATACGCTGGTCAAGTGAAAGTCTTGTTGCAGGATCGTAAGATTGGTAGTTAATCATGTAGAAAAGTTTGTGTAGATACATTGTTGTTTTGCACGTTTGTGTTGTTTAATTCAAACTATATACTGGTCACACACTGGACACTACCTGTCTGGGAAGCTTTATTTGTATAGTAATTTACTTACCTTGTTAGTGCTGGGTGCTCAAGTAATTGATTTCTGGGGAGTTAACAAGTTTTGGGGGGTGGGGCAAAATGTATAGTTATGTACACATTTTGTTTCATGATGCTTATAAAGTAACAGCCCATTTCATTGTTTTTGGATTCATAAAGCAGATATTGATATTTTTCTACAATATATTTAAGTCACAAATTATTAGTTAACATTCCATGGATAGGGTCTTACAAGGGTTAACAGGAGATTGTGCTGTGGTTAATAGCACGACACTTAATCAAAATGATTTATGTAAGGGGAGTTTAGGAATGTGTTGAAGATTTTCATTGACAGAAAAGAAATATTATTCTGGAGTGTATGTTGAATGCACTCTGTAGACGATGCTTACGTTCGAGTTGTTCTGACATGCTGTTCTGTAGAGTCCAGTGAGCAGTGTGTGAATTGTGTTTTCCATTGATTTTATCAGATGTGTATACCTTTGAAGTATCTTGTGGTCAATATTATTTAACATTACTTACAGTGTTTTGTATTGTGATTTTAATATGATTTTATCTTTTATTTTATCAATGTTGATTTGTTCATAATGTAATGCCACACATGTAGACTTTCCTCTCCACATGGAGTGACACCTGCGGAATCGTCTACCACATGATTGGATCTCAAAGAATCATATTTCGGTAAGGGTTCCCAAGGACTAATACTGAAGTTTCTAGATTTGGGTGGTTGTTTGGAGGTTGCGAGACTTGTGATGTGGTAGATGGTTCTGGTGGGTGTGATTGTTCCATACTGTACATTGTCGAACATATCTGTCATCATTGTCATGTTATATTGCAGCTTTATTTGCAATTAAATATGAGAATTCTCAACCGATTGTCTGTAGTTTGTGCAGATTGAGTGAGTGGGTGAAAGTTGCCTTATGCTGCATCAGCAGTTTTGCAGTTGCATCTTTTGTATTACAATATATTAAGAATGCATGGGGTAGCCAGTGGTTTTGCAGCAAGACCCGGGTTCGAGTCCCCACATGGGCACAATGTGAAACATGATGTTGCTGGAATATTTAAAAGCGGCGTAAAACCAAACTCAGTCAGTCAGTCAGTATTAAGAATCAAATAAGAGTGATCGTGAAATTCACTAAATTTCTCAGGTAAATATCACTTCAAGGATAAACCCTGACTATTGAGATTAAATTCTATATTTTGTCATATAATTTGATTTCTTTGTGCAGAACCGTCGGATAGAGAGATGGAAAGGAAAAAACACATTACAAAGCTAATCACTGAGGATTTATTATGTTCACTTTATTTTTGAGTTGGCTTACCAAACATTTTGACCTAAAATTTATATTCTGGTGGTTGAAAGAAAATATTAGTTTTGTCACTGTCCAGATTTTTACTGTTTCTAATGAAGTTTAGAATAGAAATATTTGGAATGATATGGTTAACATTTGAGATATGTTGATCATCTTTTTGGTTTGATTGACCTCATGTTATCTAATTCTAAAACGAGATTTGAAGTGCTTTGGTTTTGGTTACAATGGCGTCCGGTAATTCCGCGCACCTAAGCACATTGATCGCAACACGGCAACTAACGTCTCTTATTTTTTGTGGTTTACGTGACTAAACATGCTGGTATGCATCATACTTACATAGAAATATAGGTTTTCTTGACGACTATAAGATTCTAATGTTGCATTATGCCATACAGTTGACCTTACCGGCGTTCTGGCGACATCGCTTGCTGTCCGGTAACTCTGCGCAACTGATGCGCATAACATCCAGCTGGAGATCCGAAGTATGGAAGCGTATTAGGGCCAGATTATATATCACTTCATCAATGTATGGAATAGTGTTTCATATTAAATCCAATTATGAATAGTGAAGAAAAAGGTTTAAAAGTCTGAAGAAAACAAATTTGCATAAACTGTCAATTTATCTGTTAATTACTGTTATTTACTTACCTTTAGAGATTAAAAGCCAATGTAGAAATGTCCCGATTTCAAGCGTAAATTTACCTTTGTTACGGAAGTATACTATTGCAGCTGCACAGAATTACCGGATGCGCGGAATTATCGGACTCGCTTGAATGCCATATATTAAAATCTAATATCAGGTCATTTCTTCTAGTAGTAACGAAGACAACATATAAATCCTTACAGTAAAATGTGTTTTAAATGTAAAGGCAAAAAAATGAAATTACAATCACATGTACGATAATGAATCATGATGTATACAACCAACATTTGCCCGGACAAAGCAGTGAGTGGAGAGAAATGCCACCTGGAACAGTGTTCTGAGTTTTTCTGCAATGTCCATGAGCAGAGCTACAGGGCTTTCACACATAGGGTTGTAGTGACTGAAGCCACTGTCGATGTCTCTTGTTAAATATCATAAAAAGTCATATCAGCCTCTTCAACGTCATGGCTGTTGAACTGCATATTTTGATCTTCTGTCATCATCGGTCATCTGTGTTAACGATTTCAAGTTTTTCCACGATGTGGTTGCTCCTTCTTACATCTTGTAAAACTGTTGAGAGACATCCTGTTCACATTGTCTATGATGTCTTGAACTTGAGAGAAAAAGCTTTGTATCCAAAGTTGGTGCAGACGTCTATCATTGCACTGCTGCCCCCAACACTGAGCACCTGGAAACAAGGGAGAGAGGTTAGTCCTGGAAACAAGGGAGAGAAGTTAGACCTGGAAACAAGGGAGAGAGGTTAGACCATGAAACAAGGGAGAGAGGTTAGACCTGGAAACAAGGGAGAGAGGTTAGACCATGAAACAAGGGAGAGAGGTTAGAACTGGAAACAAGGGAGAGGGTTAGTCCTGGACACAAGGGAGAGAGGTTAGACCTGGAAACAAGGGAGAGAGGTTAGTCCTGGAAACAAGGGAGAGAAATTAGTCCTGGAAACAATGGAGAGAGGTTAGACCTGGAAACAAGGGAGAAAAGTTAGTCCTGGAAACAAGGGAGAGAGGTTAGTTATGGAAACAAGGGAGAGAGGTTAGACCTGGAAACAAGGGAGAGAGGTTAGTCCTGGAAACAAGGGAGAGAGGTTAGACCTGGAAAGAAGGGAGAGAGGTTAGACCTGGAAACAAGGGAGAGAGGTTAGACCTGGAAAGAAGGGAGAGACGTTAGACCTGGAAACAAGGGAGAGAGGTTAGACCTGGAAACAAAGGGAGAGGTTAGACCTGGAAACAAAGGGGAGAGGTTAGTTAGAGTCCTGGAAACAAGGGAGAGAGGTTAGAGACCTGGAAACAAGGGAGAGAGGTTAGTCCTGGAAACAAGGGAGAGAAATTAGTCCTGGAAACAATGGAGAGAGGTTAGACCTGGAAACAAGGGAGAAAAGTTAGTCCTGGAAACAAGGGAGAGAAGTTAGTCCTGGAAACAAGGGAGAGAGGTTAAACCTGGAAACAAGGGAGAGAGGTTAGTCCTGGAAACAAGGGAGAGAGGTTAGACCTGGAAAGAAGGGAGAGAGGTTAGACCTGGAAAGAAGGGAGAGAGGTTAGACCTGGAAAGAAGGGAGAGAGGTTAGACCTGGAAACAAGGGAGAGAGGTTAGACCTGGAAACAAGGGAGAGAGGTTAGACCTGGAAAGAAGGGAGAGGTTAGACCTGGAAACAAGGGAGAGAGGTTAGACCTGGAAACAAGGGAGAGAAGTTAGTCCTGGAAACAAGGGAGAGAGGTTAGTCCTGGAAACAAGGGAGAGAGGTTAGACCTGGAAACAAGGGAGAGAGGTTAGACCTGGAAACAAGGGAGAGAGGTTAGACCTGGAAACAAGGGAGAGAGGTTAGACGTGGAAACAAGGGAGAGAGGTTAGACCTGGAAACAAGGGAGAGAGGTTAGACCTGGAAACAAGGGAGAGAAGTTAGACCTGGAAACAAGGGAGACAAGGGAGAGAAGTTAGACCTGGAAACAAGGGAGAGAGGTTAGACCTGGAAACAAGGGAGAGAGGTTAGTCCTGGAAACAAGGGAGAGAGGTTAGACCTGGAAACAAGGAAGAGAGGTTACACCAGATGTGTCCATGGACATTACACCAGCAATCAGACCGAGAACACCGGTTGTTGTAAGAGGCCATTAACAGGATCGGGTGGTCAGACTCACTGACACATAATCGTATCCCAGCTGGAAACAAGGGAGAGAGGTTAGACCTGGAAACAAGGAAGAGAGGTTACACCAGATGTGTCCATGGACATTACACCAGCAATCAGACCGAGAACACCGGTTGTTGTAAGAGGCCATTAACAGGATCGGGTGGTCAGACTCACTGACACATAATCGTATCCCAGCTGCGCAGATCGATGCTCATGCAGTTGATTATTTACAGACCAACGCCGTACAGCTGAATATTGCTGAGTGCGATGGTAAACTCACTCCATATGTGTGATACAGAGAAACCTGATGTAAGAATGGGGATACTATGTCATTAAATCACAGACAGAATTAGTTACTTGGTCAAAATCTGAGACTTTTGAAGGATAATGCAAGCCTCTGACACGATCACTGATCTCGTCTCACCTTGTACTTGTCAGAGTTTTGGTTGATGTTGACGCTGAAGACGCTGGTAGGGGTACACGGCACCCCCTGCTTCAGCTCACCGTTCAGGAACCAGTGGTTCACCATTGGCTGAGTCCCTCCTGATATCAGCTGGAACCAGAACAAGCTTACACACTTGTTGGATACAACAACTATAAAAATCATCTTTCAAGAGGGATTACTGTACAAACCACTATAGTCATGAGGAAGTGCAAGTAGAAACATTTATTATTATCATATCAACATTGATTGACTCTGATATATCTTCAATTTTTCTCAATCATAAATTAAAAATGAAGTTCCCCTTATTTCTTTGAAGAGTATACATACTAATAACCAAAATTAAAAGTAAACATGATATGATCTTTAAGACAAAATATGGATATCAATTTTTACTATACACAACATTTCAAGAAAAAGTTGACATCCATAATATTTTGTCTTATACTTGAATAACAACTTCTATATGCCAATCAAGAACCAGATGATATGATGTTATCTTTAGGATAAACACAAGAAGAGTTCAACTCGGTCTTCTAATAATACTGAGCACATTAGATTAGCATGTATTCTGAATAGGAAGTGTGAAGTTTGAAGATAATGTCACTTTTCAGACTTTACTCAGTGCAAATGGTTTAAGGGGACATGAGAACTTACTGTGTCATCATGGAATCGAGCGAAGGTCTGACAAACACCCGGTGTGTTGAACGTTGTGGTTGGCTGGAGGGACCTCATGTGCCACATCGCCAACTTCGGCCCTCCACCACACACCTGGAAACCGAGTCAGATTTAGGGGTTAAAAGCAAAGAAACATCATACTTATCAGGGAGGATACATTTTTTTGAGAAAGGGAGGGTGCACAATCAATTTTCATGAGCGTTACAATGGTCAATCAACTTACAGGACACAATGTGTGTGTGTGCGTGCGTGCGTGCACACGCGCGCCCCCTTTGCTTATATCTACAACTAACAGCCACTAGTCATGCGGATGATAATGCCCTTGGTACTACTACATGATCCAGTTCATATTAGCGAATGATAGAGTTGGGTTTATTGTCCAGTACATCATGCTAATTCCCAGTTGCACAAATCCATGCTCATGCTGTTGATCACTGGATTGTCTGAACCAGACTCATTTATTTACAGACCGCCGCCATATAGCTGGAACATTGCTGAGTGCGGCGTAAAACTAAACTCACTCACATCATGCTAATAATAAGAAAGATTCATTTATATAGCGCCTAGTATCTATCTGACTAGTTGCTCACTGGATGGTGTAATCAGAATTTGATCATTATTACCCCGGATAACCTAAGCTGCCTGTGAGGCGCTAGAAGGTTAATAGTCACATGACCTATTGCACCAGGTACCCATTTTCTGCTGGGTGAACAGAGGCAATTTTGAACAAGCTCACTTGTCTAAGGTGAGACCACATGTATCACATGTGCTTCATTGTGGGGCAGGACTGAAGTCCAAGAAACTCTTACGAGTCAAGCTGTCAAACAAGGTCACCCATCTCAAGACTCTCCGAGCTCGATGTTGCTTAACTTTAACTGATTCAGGACCTGAGCTCTACGCACAGGACCACCCACCACCAGCTGTTCAGCTTAACGTGGGAGGACAAACTGAAGTGATGCAGGTCAGCCCAGGTACGATGCTGACACACCTTGAAACATATTCAAAGCCGATCAGGACTTGAACCAACAATCGGGGACGGTGGGGTAGCATAGTGGTTAAAGCATTGGCTTTAATTCCCCACATGGCTACACTGGGTGAAGCTCATTTCTGGTGTTGCCCGTCGTGATTTTGCTGGAACATTGCTAAAAGCGGCGAAAAACCATACCCGCAGCGCTCACTTATTGAATAAACAGCCATAGTTTTCTGATAAGCCCAAGGGAGGCAACTCTGCAAAGCAGTGCCTAAGGTAACTGGGCCACCTCTGTCCCCATTTTTCATGTTTATGACAAATAAATGTTTGATTCAAGCAAGTACTGATCTCACTGAGGTGCCAGTGCTAAGTTACCTCCCCTTATTAGGATATTATTAATTGTACTGCCACTTGACTTGTGCTTTACTTGCTTGTATAATTTAAAAGAGCTGTGAGAGATTACAGACTGAGTGAATAATTAACGGCAAATTAGAAACTTGTGTCGTTGTTAGCACAAAAAAGTGTTCATAAAACAATCTGTTACCATGGTAACAGTCATGTTTATTACAGTACAAGTGACTTACAGAAGAAAAGAAACATAACAACTCTGAAGTGTGGCTGGTTGGTTGTTGAATGCTGAATTCAGCAATATTCCAGCTATATGGCGGTGGTCTGTAAATAACAGACCAGACAATCCACTGATCAACAACACAAGCATCGATCTACACAATTAATGTTGTACCTGATGTTATCATAGAAACTTACCATCCAGTCTTCTCCAGAGTCCAGTGTCACACAGCCCAGCCATCTGCCCATCTCTGGACGACTACACATCTACAGAAGATAACCATGGCAACAGTGAGTGACAAGAGTCACATAAGCTGACAATATTCATTTGATTACACATCTTCAACAGATAAACATGGCAACAGTGAGTGACTAGTCACACAAGCTGTCAATGTGCATTTGATAACACATTGTAGATATACACTTTGCACTAAGCCACTCTATTACACGTTGTCAAGGTAACAGTCAGTGATGAGAGACACACATCCACCTGTCCATTCCAGTTGACTACTCATCAACATGTAACCATGGTAACATACCAGATTATCTTACCTCATGTTTGTAAGGTTCCAGTATGTGAACAGACTCGCCGGGCGATCGCAGATCTGAATGTAAAATAAAAATTAAGCTTTGGCGATTGATCTGCCTATTTTTGGAAAAGATTCTCAGTTTTTCATTGGACATGAATTGGTCACACATCCCCATGCATATGTGTTGAACCAATCTGCAATCATACCTACCCCATATTCTGACAGATCCATCCTCTGATGCAGACAGACATTCCCGCCCCTCGTTTTTCAGACACAAATGGTGGACGTAGTCTTCATGACCACTTAGAGTTTGCTGTAACAAGAACAGTGAGTGAGTGAGTTTAGTTTTACGCCACACTCAGCAATATTCAAGCTATATGGCAGTGCTCTGTAAATAATCGAGTCTGGACCAGACAATCCAGTGATCAACAGCATGAGCATCAATCTGCGCAAATGGGAATCGATGACACGTGTCAACTAAATCAGTGAGCCTGACAACCCGATCCCGTTAGTCGCCTCTTATAACAAGCATGGGTTACTGAAGATTCATTCTAACCCGTACCTTCATGGGTTAGAACATCAAGAAGTCTAAAATGTATGAAACCTTTTCACTCAAGCTACGAAGGGGTAGTAGATGTAATTTTGACTATGATTTGTACAATAGACATAATACTTGAAACGTCAGTTTTAAAAGTTGTCGAAAAGTTTGAAATATTGGAAAGAAAATATGCTTGTACTCAAAACATGCAAAAGTTGCCAATGTTTACAAATTTTAATCAATATATTATATTATATAAATAATAAAATTTTTTTGTCGTCATTGTGATACCTCGAGATTCCCGGACTCCATGTCCCATACATGCACATTGTTGTCACCACACCCTGCTATCAGCTTCTGGCTGCCCTCCTGGACAACAAACAACATGCCTTGATAAGGAAACAACATTGACATCTCAAAGGGGCTTCATCATGTCAAAAGAAACAGTGTTACAACAAAGACCTTGTCCTACAAAACACAGCAGAACAAACTGACGTGCTCAACCCTTGTCACTTGCCCACCTGAGAATTGAACCCAGCTAAATTATCCACCTGGGCCAAAGAGGAATTGAACCCAGCTAACTCACCCACCTGACCAGATGTGAAGTTGTACCCAACACACTCACTCACTCGCTGAGCCCCGAGGACTACCAACCTGCTGGTCCATCACTATGGAGTTAACTTCTGGGTTGGTAAACACTCCTCTACAACAAAGCAAGCACATATAATTTTAATAATAATGATAATAGGTGAGATGAGGTGAAATTGGGTTTTATGTCGTGCTCGAGAATATTTCGCTCATATGATGACGTGCATGCGTGTGTATGTGCGGCTGCTTGTACTAGCCCAGACTTAAGCTGTTTTTTTTATAGTGCTAGCTCTATGAGATACCATGCTGCAGTGAAGCATGAATACCCCACTCAGACACGTTATACCGACTCCGAGCTGACCAGTCCTTGTTGTATCCATTAATGCCGAGCGCCATGCAGGGACCAACAAGTACCATATTTTAACGTCTTTGGTATGATGCGGTCGGGGATCGAACCCGCGACCTTCTGCTCTCCGGGCGGATGCCCTAACCACTACACCACGGAGGCGGTAATAATAATGATCAAGAGGAAGCAAAGATATGTTGATGTATAAACGGGACAGTGAAACTCAGCTATCATCAATTTATCAATAGTCATCTAATTGGGTTTTTAGAAATATTCTAGATATCTGATGAGGGTCTGTAAACAGTTGGCACCCACAAGGTCCATCCAAGTCAGTGATAGCACCATGAGCACAGATTCATGCAGTTGGGATATTATGACATGTGATGACATAGTCTCTCGGCCTTAACACAAGAACCAATCTGTTGCCATGGAAATAAAGAATTCCATGGGTAGAAGACATGGTCTCATATCAAATTACAACACAAACAAAGATGCAGCTCTAAGTCTTACAGATATTATCACTGAATATAATTTGAAGATACTTCTGAGGAATAAAAATGATATTCTCCTGAATAATTATAACATAAAATTTGAAATAGATATTAAACTTAGAAATATTGGGTCCACTTACTTTTTGGGTAGAGAAAATGACCAGATGATTTTAGGAGCCTGAAACATACAACCATACATGACTCAAACAAATTACCTCTAATATCAGCTTGAAGTGAGTGAATGAGTGAGTTTAGTTTTACACCGCACTCAGCAATATTCCAGCCATATGGCGGCAGTCTGTAAATAATCGAGTCTGGATCAGACAATCCAATGATCAACAGCATGAGCATCGATCTGCGCAATCAGCGAGCCTGACAACCCGATCCCGTTAGTCGCCTTTTGTGGCAAGGATGGGTTGCTGAAGATCTATTCTACCCCGATCTTCACAGGTCTCAGCTTGAAGTACAAATCAAACATATTATTTGATTCATGAAAACACAATATATTCTTTTCCCTCACTATTTTATGAAGTAAACACACGAATATTAACCCTCAGAAATAGCTATGAAAAACCAAAAGGCATCTGAGACCCACAAAGCATGCCCAGTCCCACAATACCTTATTCAAGATGTCCGCCCACCTCCATGCACATATATCACCTTCCCCAGCACTGGAACAAAGAATTAGTAAGGAGAACCTTGACGTTGAGACACTGACATTGGTAAACACAGATCTGCACAGTAATTTAGGTAGACAACACTCAACTTACTTTTAAGATTTTCATCTGGTTGTTTCAAAAATAATGATACTGTACTAGAGTTGACCTTGACCTTAAAGCATCAATAGCTGCAGACAGGTAATGTTCAAGGTCACAGACAACAAGTCAAATATAATACATTGGGCACAGAATCACAGTAGGATAGTCCAGTCCAGTGAGAATATAACCACTGCTACAGATCCATTCTTATATAGAGGATATTATATGAGTGCCCATGTTATATTATATTTACGACTTGAGTGCCTAAATGTTGGTACTTCCCGAGCGAGAGCGAGGGATATACCGATATATAGGCACGAGTGTCGTAAACATAGTATGATATGGGCACGAATGTAATAATACCAAAGTCGTTAAATTGAGGAAAATAATCCAAAATCTACTTCCTAACATAGGCTGGCTACCCGCCGTCGCCGTATGTAGAACACAACGTCACAGACATGACACCATCACAAAGTGATATTTTGCCCTAGGGTATCGTATGAAAAAATGCCCTCATAAGTAATGATACACATGTATCAATTATGAAGATACAACATTTCACTGACCTTATAAGAAGCTTGCTTGTGGAGGCAAGGCAATATACAGCTCCATCCTCGCTTGCTGAAGTAAAGAAAACATCAACTGTAGGCACTGTGCTTAGTGGTGCAGGATTTTCTGTATTTCCAGGGCTGGCATTTAGGTAACCTTCCACTAACTTTGGACCTATTTTTGTGGGTTCAGCATCTGTGCCTCCAATAGCCTTCTAACTGATGAGTGAGGCATAAAGAATTACATTGTCAAAGTCTGGATCGATGTGTATATCAAACACAACTTACCCTTGAATGTGAAGACTGGATTGTACGAGGCTTCATCAGCATCGGGAGAAAGACTGGAGGATAAACTGTAAATATACAACAATGTGCCATGAGATAACACTGAGAGGACTTTTAACATGCCATGAGATAACACTGAGAGGACATGCAGCATGCCATGAGATGACACTGAGAAGACATGCAACATGCCATGAGATAACACTGAGAGGACATGCAACATGTCATGAGATAACACTGAGAGGACATGCAACATGCCATGAGATAACACTGAGAGGACATGCAACATGCCATGAGATGACACTGAGAGGACTTTTAACTTGTCATGAGATAACACTGAGAGGACACGCAACATGCCATGAGATAATACTGAGAGGACATGCAACATGACATGAGATAACACTGAGAGGATGCCATGAGATAACAACATGTCATGAGATAACACTGAGAGGACATGCAACATGCCATGAGATAACACTGAGAGGACATGCACACATGCACATGGAGATAACACTGAGTGGACATGAGGACTTACAACATGCCATGAGATACTGAGTGGACATGCAGCATGAGATAACACTGAGAGGACACGATAACATGCCATGAGATAACACTGAGAGGACATGCAACATGCCATGAGATAAGATAACACTGAGAGGACATGCAACATGCCATGAGATAACACTGAGTGGACATGCAACATGCCATGAGATAACACTGAGAGGACATGCAACATGCCATGAGATAACACTGAGTGGACATGCAACATGCCATGAGATAACACTGAGTGGACATGTGCCATCAGACATGAGAGGCAACATGCCATAAGATAACACTGAGTGGAGATGTAACATGCATGACATGAGATAACACTGAATGGACATGTAACATGCCATGAGATAACACTGAGTGGACATGTAACATGCCATAAGATAACACTGAGTGGACATGTAACATGACATGATAACACAGTGGAGATAACACATAAGAGTGGATATGTAACATGACAACATGCCATAAGATAACACTGAGTGGACATGTAACATGACATGAGATAACACTGAGTGGACATGTAACATGACATGAGATAACACTGAGAGGACATGTAACATGCCATAACACTGAGTGAACATGTAACTTTACATGAGATAACACTGAGATTACATGTACATATCATGAGATAACACTGAGTGGACATGTAACTTGTCATGAGATAACACTGAGTGGACATGCAACATGCCATGAGATAACACTGAGTGGACATGCAACATGGTATGAGATAACACTGAGTGGACATGTAACATGACATGAGATAACACTGAGTGGACATGTAACATGACATGAGATAACACTGAGTGGACATGTAACATGCCATGAGATAACACTGAGTGAACATGTAACTTTACATGAGATAACACAGAGATTACATGTAGATATCATGAGATAACACTGAGTGGACATGTAACTTGTCATGAGATAACACTGAGATTACATGTACATATCATGAGATAACACTGAGTGGACATGTAACATGACATGAGATAACACTAAGTGGACATGTAACATGACATGAGATAACACTAAGTGGACATGTAACTTGTCATGAGATAACACTGGGTTCCAGTTGTAGTTATATGTGATATGAGATAAAATACATTTATATGGCATTTCATTTGAATTTGTGAATTTGGTTTACAATGTATCAGAGTGGAGATGGGGCAAACTTGTTCAGAATTTCTGGGTATTTATTTTCACTATTCTGTGATTACACAATGTCAAGTAGGAAGTGGTCAAATGTAACATGTTATATTTGGGATTACACTTTCTAAGTAAAGTACTAGAATCTGTACTTTACCTAGAAAATTTAATCTCAAATAGAATATATGTTTCACTATTCTGGAAGGCACAACAAAACCCTATAACCTGTGTTGTTTGAAACCTGTTCCAGTTTTCCTGTATATTGTGCAATCTTGTTATAACTTATAGAGGGAGGGTGTCCATTACAATGTCACTGTAAGGTATTTTTAAGAGGTATGCACTGATATTTATTTTGTACAATGCATGAGCTCTCTTCAGTGTCTAAGTTTGTTTTTATGCACTGCGGAAACTCGTAGTCTCGTGTCATCTGATTTTCACTAGTGTTGGGAATTGGTCAAAATCTCACAATTGATGATTGGTTCATTACAACTGATCAATCATCGTAAATAATTGGTTAGCGTCATTTATCAAATTCTCAAGGTTATGTTTGTTAATGCACACAAAAATATAGAAAAAACATGTAGTTCTTCGTGTGTGTGTGTGTGTGCAAAACAGCACAAAATGCATTACAAATTTCACATCTTAAAAGATGACTAGTATGTTAGGAACATATATTTCCTGGCGTCTTTAAGATAAATTCAATAATGACAAGGAACAAGCTTGTAGTGCATATGAAATGCAACAGACAGAACAAACTTCATGAAAATGTTAATGCAAACAAGTGTTCCAAAATTGTTTGTGCTCGATTATGAGAAAACATGATCGATTGCTTTGTCGTTTAGTCATTGCGACCAATTTTCGATTATTTCAATTAATCGGACCACCACTAGTTTTAACCCAAAACTGCCATGTTAGTTCTTAACAAACTGCAGGATACCAAAGTATAAGTACTCAAAGCATAATGCTGCGTTGTTCATAAACTCATGGTAAAGTTCTAGACACATGATTTGTAATATCTTTGAATTTTGTCATTTCTTTAAGTAACACTTCGCTGGCATGCTGCATTCTGGTTGTGTCATCTGTTATGTCAACCTTCATGTAACAGGTTAACAAATTCTATATGTCTGGTTGTTTGTTTCTTTCAAGCCATTTACCCTGAACAAACAGCTTTTCAAATTTCAACTAATTCTGCAATCACGACGAGCGAGGATACTTCCGGTTGAGTCATGGATGCGAGTATGTTGTTTATATTACAGTTTTACGAGTCAGGAAACTGCATCAGTTGCTCTTCGTTAAACAAACAGAACAATAAGAAAATACTTTTTTAAGTTATTTGATTTTTCATTTTTTAAGAATGTTGATTAATCTCCAACCCATAAATAATTTCTTAGGCGAGTGAGATCTATTGATAGACCGATTATTTGATCTATCGCCTCAGCACTAGTATGGTGTCTGTTTGGGTGTGACCAGGACAAATACTGTGATCACATGATTCACGACATGACATTTATGACATTGAGACAGGGAAAATGCACTTTTAACATGTTCTACCTAGAACGGGCCCCCTAGTACGAGGGGCAGTGGGGTAGCCTAGTGGTTAAAGCATTTGCTCGTCATGCTGAAGACCTGGGTTCAATTCCCACATGCGTTCAATGTGGGAAGCTCATATCTGGTGTCCCCTGCCGTGATGTTGCTGGAATATTGCTAAAGCGGCATTAAACCATACTCACTCACTATCGTTTCCGATCATCAATTACCACAACAGCATGTGAAACAAATACATACTTGAACACTGCAATCTGGCCATAATTGTTGGCAGCCACAAGATACTTCCCACATGGAGAGTAACACTGTGAGAAGACGGTTGTGTGGAGAAACTGCCGTACAGACAAGCCTCGGTCCTGAAATAAACAATCTGAGCATGTAGAGGGGGAGCGATTTATTACCTGGGTACAGGGGGTTTACTTCGAGTCACAAACATGGGGGCGTGGGGACCCTCAGTTATTAGTTTTGAGGGCCCCGTGAAGCAACAGTGTAGAGGTTTTGATAATTTCTATGTGGACTCTTGGTTGAAATGATGCACGTAACTGCTCTGAAAGAAACGTTGGCTCGTCACTCCAAAGACCCGGGTTCGAATCCCCACATGGGTACAATTTGTGAAGCCCATTTCTGGTGTCCCCCGCCGTGATGTTGCTGGAATATTGCTAAAAGCGGCGTAAAACCAAACTCAGTCAGTCAGTCTGAAAGAAACAACCAAATGCTCAGCAAAGTTTTCGGGTCCCGAGGTGGGCACATTTGCGTAGTATCCTTGGACAATATACTTAGATCCACATCAATATACTTAGATCCACATCAATATACTTAGATCCACATCAATATCCTTAGATCCACGTTATCTCAGTTCATCCTGATGTATGTTAAGTTCATTGTGCCTAACAGGCAGCATGGCTGTACACTCCCCAGGGAATTGTGCACCTAACAGGCAGCATGGCTGTACACTCCCCAGGGAATTGTGCACCTAACAGGCAGCATGGCTGTACACTCCCCAGGGAATTGTGCACCTAACAGGCAGCATGGCTGTACACTTCCCAGGGAATTGTGCACCTAACAGGCAGCATGGCTGTACTCCTCAGGGAACTAACAGGTGTGGCCAGAATTGTGCCAACAGGCAGCATGGCTGTACACTCCCCAGGGAATTGTGCGCCTAACAGGCAGCATGGCTGTACACTCCCCAGGGAATTGTGCGCCTAACAGGCAGCATGGCTGTACACTCCCCTGGGAATTGTGCGCCTAACAGGCAGCATGGCTGTACACTTCCCAGGGGTGTCGCCTAACAGGCAGCATGGCTGTACACTCCCCAGGGGAATTGTCGCCCAGGGGGAATTGTGCCTAACAGGCAGCATGGCTGTACACTCCCCAGGGAATTGTGCGCCTAACAGGCAGCATGGCTGTACACTCCCCAGGGAATTGTGCGCCTAACAGGCAGCATGGCTGTACACTCCCCAGCGAATTGTGCGCCTAACAGGCAGCATGGCTGTACACTCCCCAGGGAATTGTGCGCCTAACAGGCAGCATGGCTGTACACTCCCCAGGGAATTGTGCGCCTAACAGGCAGCATGGCTGTACACTCCCCAGGGAATTGTGCGCCTAACAGGCAGCATGGCTGTACACTCCCAGGGGTGTGCCTAACAGGCAGCATGGCTGTACACTCCCCAGGGAATTGTGCGCCTAACAGGCAGCATGGCTGTACACTCCCCAGGGAATTGTGCACCTAACAGGCAGCATGGCTGTACACTCCCCAGGGAATTGTGCACCTAACAGGCAGCATGGCTGTACACTCCCCAGGGAATTGTGCACAGGCTAACTGGCAGCGCCTAACAGGCAGCATGGCTGTACACTCCCCAGGGAATTGTGCGCCTAACAGGCAGCATGGCTGTACACTCCCCAGGGAATTGTGCGCCTAACAGGCAGCATGGCTGTACACTCCCCAGGGAATTGTGCGCATAACAGGCAGCATGGCTGTACACTCAGGGAATTGAAAAAGTATTGGAAAGTATGATAGTGTCCTGTGACCGGGCATAGTAATGTACGTAGCGCCGTGAGCAGGCAATGTGCCCGGATATGAGCGCCATATAAGCTGACTATTACTATTACAAGGATTAGATATGTTGAGGGTACAGTGAATAACATTGTGCTTCCCTCTGTAGGCAGTGAATACTGCCAATGTCTGACCCAGCCCGGGCTCTGTTGAGTGAAAATGAGATGAACTGAGGTTTACAAATTGAATATGCTGATGAATCTACACTAATTAGTATTAACTGCTACACGTCACTGTAAACAACACGTTTGCATGTTTGTAACTCCCACTGTAACACAGTGTTATAGCATCAACTCACCCCTGTCGGCATATTGTTTACGTTTTGATTCCTGCCGCCATACACGTGCTGGTCGAACTTCCGGTAAGGGAGGTAAATGTGAAACTGAAACCGTTGAACGCACTTGTCGTAAATATAATGTTCTGACATATTATGCAATTAAATGGAATGCTGTCTGTTTTAGCATTAACCCCCCTTGGTTACGCCAACGCAATTTTTTGTTTTTCAATGTGGTCTTAAGTCAATTTCAGGGGGGTTCCACACACACACACACTGGACCCCGATCCGCCACTGCTAAAACAGATTATACGTGACTGACACAAGTAGAAATCGATGGTCGCAAAGAGTGAGTGAGTTCAGTTTCACGTCGCTTTTAGCCATACTAAGTTCAAGCAATATCACGACGCTTTTAAATGGATTATTGACCGTTCATGTATGGCTCGGGAGGTAATGATGATTCTTTGATTCTTATGGAGACGCGTGTACAAAGTAAATGACACCTTCCCCCCCCCCCAAAAAAAAATATGTACAAAATAAGAGACCCCAAAGACATGTCACGTACAAAAACAATTACCCGTCCTCCCATAATTTTTAAGCAGAAAATTTCAATATCTTCAAGTGCAAAATTGAATACCCCACACCTTCTCAAAACATAATGATTGACCCTCCTTAAAATCATGCACACATGCACGTACGGACGCACGCACTCACGCACGCACACCGCCATAACTTTTGAACGGTCCCTCAGATCGATATTCCATGAGTTGTCAGTGTTCAGTCGTGTAGATGGCGTTGTTTTGATTTCCTTGAGTTCAAAACCATTTTTTCAAACTTGTGCATTTGATAACTCTCCCTCAGACAGATCAGATCCTTGATGATCTGGGTAGAAGCGGTTGTCAACAACACCTGCTTGTCTTACAAGGCGACAAGCGGATCAGGTGGTCACGCTGACTGGGTTGACACATGGCACTGTATCCCAACTGCTTAGATCGATGCTCATGGTGTTAATCACTGGATATGGATTGTTTGGTCTAGACTCGATTATTTACAGATCGCCGCCATATAGCTGGAATATTGTTGAGTTCGGTGTTTGAAACAGTTTGAAAACAAAGAAATGTATTTGTGATTTGCCAACTGACCTTGCAAACGTCTGGTTTCGTCGCACTTCCAAAAAAGATTAGAGTAGATTCTAAACTGTGATTGAACTGATCGTCAATTTCATATAGCCTGCAATTCTCCGAAACTGTATCTAAATGACTTCATCGTCGCTGCATTTATACAGACCTATCGTCCAGCACCTTACATTTCAACACTGTGAGTGAGTGACTTTAGTTTTACGCCGCTGTTATGTCAGTAATGTCACGGCGGGGGACACCGGGCTTCACACAGTGTACCCATGTAGGGAATCGACCCGCATGACGAGCGGTAGGGCAAGGACGGGTAATCCGGATACCTGGGGCGGGTGGGTAAAGAGCTGGACTCGGGTACCCGTCTCAGTACCCGGACCTGTTATGATCATCTGACTAATACATCCAACAATGTAATGTGTTATTCTTCCATGATCAAAAGGTTATATCGTCTTTGAAGATTTAGACATGGTTAAGATATTGAAAAAAACTTAAATATTAGCCTCCGAGCTTAAGAATATATTGCCATTTCTTGCAAATTTGATGTAAGGAATTAACATAACGGGTATCCGGGTAGGGTAACAGGGGGTAGGGTACCCAGGTAGAAAATTTGGACCCATCCCAGCCCTAACGCTTTAACCACTAGACTACCCAAAAGCCCCCATTTCATCACAGAGAACCCCTACAGTAGTTGGCCATAAGTGAGCCATCATTAGTGAAATTCCCATAGACTTGCATGTTAATTAACTCTTGCAAGAATCATTTTCATAAATTTAATTTCGGTGGAATAGCTTTCAATGCTTATCTACCAGTTGGGAAATCACCTCAGCTACATACACATAATTCCCATTCAATTTTCCGATGATTATTGAGAAAACTGCAACTATTTAAACAACATCCCCATTTCAACACCTAGATAAGATAAATGGTTGTATATATACTTGTCAAACGTTCCATATACAGGGGCGTAGCTACCATTTTAAAAAAGCCCGGGCTTACACATGATTTTTGCTAACAACTTTTTTTCTAATTCTTGCCAAAAATACCTCAAATACAATCTAAATATAGAGCTTTGTAACCTATCGGGCTTCCACGAAAGAATCGGCTTGCTACGCGCCTGATATACTGCCAAACACGATTACTAGTAGTGTACAGCGGTACCCTGGCGTCTCTTTCCAGATGGCGGCACATCCGGTCACGTGAGCACAATGGCACACGTCATATATGGACTGGAGCATGCAAGCACAGTGGGTATGGGAAAGTGAGCTATTTTTGCCCCATAGCCTACCGGTGGCGTACTACACATGCCCACCGGCTTAGTTTTATAGTACACAGGGAAAACTTCGACATAGGTGATTACGACATCAGCCATTTGTGCCACAACAGTAAATGCACCTATGTCGAACACCTGTCTGCTGAACCACATAGCATCAATGCAGACAGAGTGGCCTGTGTAAACAAGGGTATGTGTAAAGGGCATGAACCATTCCAGGATTGCATTTTGGAATTGAAGCTCTAGATGAACACAATAACAAAGGCAAAGTATGTTAAAAATACTATATGATATAATATAGTAAAATTTTATTTGTACACTAGTGTACTAATGATAATACCTCAGTTACAATGGTATTATACTTGATTCGCAGAAAGCTGAGAAATGTAATTAAACATAAATTTGCACAATGTTGGTCATAAGCAAGTAATTAGCTTATAAAGTTCTGCAGCAGTACTGCACATTTTGAATAGGAATGTTCATGTTTGTTGTTGAAACATGGCACAGGATCTAATTGGCCCTTTCTGTAGTCCCCACTGCGTTTGTCGGTCTGTTTAGACTTTAAATGTTCACAGTGACGCTGTACACTGTTACTAGTATCTCGAAGAATGATGTAAATACTTTTCCAAAATTCGACACTGCTGCAAGTGGTGACTAAAGAGAAAATACGCAGGAACCAAATCTTTTACTTCGGGACAACCAAAGTTCGACTCAGCGGCGTTTGACAGTAAATCATCTCCCCTGCTCAATTTGGTGTCTTGAAATATCTAATACTTCCTTGCTTCCCCGCAGTATACCATTTCATCTTCAGTCACTTTCGTGGGATGCTGGGCGGTGGGGTAGCCTAATGGTTAAAGCGTTGGCTCGTCACGCCGAAGACCCGGGTTCGATTCCCCCACATGGGCACAATGTGTTAAGCCCATTTATGGTGTCCCTCGTCGTGATATTGCTGGAATATTGCTAAAAGCGGCGTAAAACTAAACTCAGTCAGTCAGTCAGTCGTGGGATGCTTATCAACAAAATGTCTGTATTTCATTAATAATGGAGGCACTGTCTATAATTCAACAATCCACAATTTCGTGGAATTTCTCTCAGTGATGTGACTTTACGATATATGGCTGAAATACTGCCAAGTTGACTTTAAATGGCAAGCCGTGTTCACATTTATTAAGAAATACTGATATATTAAATTGTTTTAAAGCTATCTTGAATGAAAATGGAGATGTCTTGAATAGAATTGAAGACATCTTGAATTGAGTTGAAGATATCTTGAAAAGAATTAAAAATATCTCCAATAGTTCCGGATGCGCACGCACAGCGACAAGACGTGCTCGTATAAGAGAGCTCTGGCCCCACCCGCCAATACAAATAATCTACGAAGAACTCTCAAGTCAAAATAACCCAGGACAACATATGCGAAGACTACGACAACCATTCAACCATCGATTACAACGATACAAGAAATAATCTGAGTAGATATTTACATTGCGATGCCTCCGAAAATTGGTGCACAAGAGTTGGAGGAAATCGTTGTTAAATCTGAACAATAAGAGTCTCCAAATTAATTGGAGAACTCCGTACTGACCTTGTAAACTCGGTCAGAAAGTGACCACGAGAGTAAATGATATAAAAGGTGACATACAGAAAGTGACCACGAGAGTAAATGATATAAAAGGTGACATACAGAAAGTGACCACGAGAGTAAATGATATCGAAAATGCAGTGTCCATCCAGCAGGACGAAGTTAACGACTTGCGACAAGTTTTACAATTAAAGCAAGCACTATCGGAGCAAGCGGAGTCGTTTGAAAGTAAGCTCACGCTTAAAAAAATCCACGATAGAAAGTCTAACCTCTTGATATATGGTCTTAAAACTGAACCACAAAAGAACTCTAGGAGAGTCATCAGAAACTTTCTGGTTAATATGCTTAACTTTTCTGAAAAGGGCGGATAGCATCTACTTCAAAACGGTTCACCGCCCACCGCGCAAGCCGTTTGAGAACGACCCAACTCCAAATGCACCCCTCCTATCATTGCATCTTTTCTCTACATCCCCCGATAGAGATGCTGTCCTCCACGCGGGAAAAACGTTGAAAGGTGAAGGGGTATCTGTCCCGGATCTGCCCCCCACCCCACCCTCCAAGCTGAAGAAACAGCGAGCAATCCTGTACAGGAAACCCCGTGAAATGTACAGAGCTGCTTCACCCGCGTGAGACTGATGGGTGTATCCCACGTGCTGGAGACCCGGGACCCCCGGGAGCCACGGTCACCTTGGATAAACAGTAAACATCAACATGCATTGGGCAAAAGGATAAAAGGATAATAATTTACCTTACATGATGACCATACAACGTCAATTTCTCCTTGCTGAAGTGTCATCATTTAGTTGGCGCGCACATTTTATACTCAGCAGAAAAATATGTCTTCAGTTGCTCCACTACCAAGTCGTGAATTCGCATCAATATGTTTGTTGTCAATGATATTTTCGGATTAATTGATTCCGGGACAATCCGTACATGTGCACACTCGGCCACGCTGGAATCCAGCACAAACAGGTAATAGAAATGTGGACACTTGTTGAAATACCCGTGAAGGTCCGGGTTAGAATGAACCTTCAGTAACTCATGCTTGTCGTAAGAGGCGACTAACGGGATCGGGTGGTCAGGCTCGCTGACTTTGGTATCGTCTGGTTAA